AAATAAAAAAAAAAAATATATATATATATATATATATATAAAAACTAATAAAAATGATGAAGGCACATAACAAAATCACTAAAACAACCTAAAATTAAAATGAAAACTTAACATATAAAAAACTAATTCAAAATTATAAATACTCTTAGTAATATATAATACCAAAATAACAGTTATGAATATTTGAATAGCAATAATATTTTCACTTTTAATGTTATTTAACTATAATGTAAATATTATGCAAACAGCATGTTGAAATAATAAATTAATTTACCTATGAAAACCATTGGTTCCTGTTGTGTAGTATTGGTGATACTGGGTGCTATTCTGTAGAGAAGCCATTTATCAGTAGTCCCAAAATTAAAGAATCGATTAAATGGTAAAGTGGAAAAACTACTGATCAAATGTATTATTCATCTGTCTCTATTTTAAGGGTGTTTTCACTCCTAGTTTGCACTTCAACCAGTCTGAGAATATTTCTATTGTTTCTCAACCAGAGATGCTGGGGCCTCAGATAGACTTAAAATGATTCAAATAAGCCACAACAAGCATTTAAATAAGCTGAAACAACAAAAGATTTTAATTCACCCCCTCAACAACTGCTCTTTTTTTTTTTTTTAAAGAACCAGGATTCCCACTGACTTGAAAAACTTGGATATATAGGCCTAAGGAAGCCTACTTTTAAAAGTTTAAGTTCTAAACCTGGAAAAGTCATGTAAAATTAATAAAATCTTAAAATTCCATGGGCATTTTTACTATAATTATAAATTTTTTTCTAGTTATGCCAAGCTCTAAAATATTTTATCAGGTTGAAATTGTGAGTAAAATACATATTTACTTTAAAGGGGTCATATGATGTTGCTAAAAAGAACATTATTTTGTGTATTTGGTGTAATTAAATGTTTATGAGGTTTAAAGTTCAAAAAACACATTATTTTCCACATCATGTGGGGTGTGTTAGAACGAGCCGTTTTAGGTAGGCGTGGTTGACTCTTAACTTTTATCAAGAATATCTCTTTGGATTTGAGACTTTAGTCTTTGCAACTTTACAGATCTTCTTTATGCACCAAGAGCTTGTAACACTTCAAAGAGAAAGGAAAAATTGAAATCGCATCATATGACCCCTTTAAAATCCTTATCCAGTAAATCCCGAAAAACTGAAAAAAGTCATGTGGCCTTTGAATATTGTTGTGGAAAATTAGGGCCTTGTACTAAAAGTTGAGAACAACTGCTCTAAAAGAACCCACAAACGAACTGTATACTCAGGAGTGCTTTGCATTCAGAATGCACATTTATTGTCAAAATGTGTGTGACCCCCTGAAACAAAGTTAGTGTGAAAACACCCACTGGTTTTCCACTTTGCCTCAGTTCATTCTAGCCAAGTTTCATTTTGACATGCAACATTTTTCCACCAAACCTATGTGTGTGCCAGTATGTGTATGCGTGCAATTTCCTCTTCTTTCCTCTACTTTTGTGCGTGACAGTAATTTTGTGTGCTTCCTGAAAAGTCACTGCATTCCATAGTGTGGGATTGTTTGGCTTTTTCGTGTAGTTTTGTGAATGTGTGTGTTTTTATATACCATACATTAGAACTCATAAATCCCCAGCAGGACGGTAAGTGTCATGTTGGCAGAGAAATGGTTGTGCATTTGACTTTGTGAGTTGAGAAGCACTGACAATGTCCTTTCAGTTGTGTAGTTCTGATTTGTTCTGTACTCTCTGTAGTATGTTGATAAGGGTGGTTTATCTGTGAAAATGCTTTGCTTGCATACCAAGATTTAAAGGATTTCACTCCAAAATGAATAATTTGTCTTCATTTACTCATCCACATCTCATTCCAACCTCATGTTATTTTATTTTTTCCCGTGAAATAGAGCGATCTTTGACAGAATATAAAAGTTTTGCATAGAAAAGTTGATCAGTCAAACAAATTATCAGTCTTTTTGTGTGTTAAGTGGACCCAGTAGTGAACCATGTGGGGGGAAAACAGCTCCTTTTCATTCTGTTCCTGGCCTTGAATTTGGACTCAGATCTCAAGATAAAGTGAACACGGAGAGCTTTGCTTTTTAGAATGCACAATATAGGCGAAAGAGGTTCAGTAAGCTTTAAAGTTTGTTTGGAGCATTCAAAATTCATGTGATTTTCTTTTTTCGTGAAACAGGGAAATCTTCTGCAGAATATCAGAGTTTTGGATTGGAAAGTGGATGATCAGTCAAACTGATTATTGGCCTGTCTGTATGTTATTTGTAGCTAAAAGTGAACCTAGTGGAAAAAGAATCCAATTCCTTTTTATATTCATTCTGTTCTTGGATTTGTAAGTGGACTCAGATCTCAGACTCAAAATAAAGTGAACACCGCTCGCGCTCCATAAAAGGATTTTCAATGTAGTCCATACGATTTGTGCACTGTATTCCAAGTCTTCTGAAGCCATACCATGTATGAGGAACAAAGTGATAGAAAGGGTATTAAAAATTAAATATAAAAATCAAATTAAAATTCTGTTTGATATTGCTAAGCCAATTATTTTCAAGGTATGGCTGATCATTAAAAAATGGCAGATATTCAGTTCTATACTGTTTTGTCAAAATTAAAAGCTAAAATCAACCATTTTACATGTTACGTTATGAATGAAAAATCGTTATGAATACGTTATGAAAAATCTCTCTTCCTCATTTTTTAAACTACATTAAAACTACATTTTAGCAAAAGAAAAATACAAAAAAAAATTACCTATACATAAAATTCAATGCAATTTTCAGCTGAAATGAAAACTAGAGGCAGTAAAACACCAACAAGTTTAATATTTTTATAGACTTATTTTCGTGCAGTTGCACAATAAATACTATTATGGAGGATGAGAAATGACTTAAGTATAAATAAATAGATAAACGAATAAATACATAAATAAATATCTGCATTTATTTATTGATTTAAGCATTTAATTATGTATTTATTCATTTATGTATCTCTGCATTTATTTATTGATTTATTTCAGCATTTAATTAATTATTTATTTATTTACTTATGTATTTCTACATTTATTTATTTATGTATTTCTATATTTATTTCTTCATATATTTATTTCTTCATTTATTTATTTATTTATGTATTCCTACATTTATTTATTTATTTAATTCTGCATTTACGTATTTATTCATTTATTTATTTATTTATACTTAAGTCATTTCTCGTCCTCCATATACTATGTGTATGACACATTTACCATACTGCATGATTTATAGACTAATACAGTTTACATCACATCGCTCTGTATGTATGACTTTTCTGATGTAGTAAATAAACTTGATTGGTTTGCATTCAGATACAATTCTTGTGAAACATGATATGAGTCATGATAAAAGAGCTCAAAGACTTGCAGAAGCAATCTAAAATGGCATGGTTGCTTCAGCAAATGCATTTTTATTTTATCTCACATTTGCCTTTGGCTAACTGTTAGTTAGGTTTAGTTTAGGTGGTACATTTTTTCCAACGAATGTTATCCTTTTACTGCAACTCACTGGACATTTAATTTCTGAACTGGTGTGATTTGTTCAACAACCTATTGAATGCACTTTTAGTGCCACTCACTGGACAATTTACTTTGCGAAATGTGAGAAAAGCAACATAATATCATTTTGCAGAAATGCTTCTACAGGCACATTTTTCCAATGAGCTTAGGTTTGTAATAAAAGGGAAAATTAGTATGCATAATTAAATATATATCCAATAGTGACAGATACTGATAAATTAAAAAAAAAACTTTAAAATGGATTGATAACCAGTAGGCCTATGATATATTTTGCATCTATAACTGATGTTTTGGAGGTTTATTTTAAGCTGTTCTTGTGTAATAACACAAATAAGTACTGATTATTATTAATTAACAATTAATTAGCATGCATAATTTACAGTTTTACTGTTTACTATAGTAAGTAGGCCTGTATGTACTGTAGGCCACATGTAACGTTTGACAAGGACACTGTAAAATAAAGTGTTACCCTATTGGAATGTAGCACATGAGTCGTATAAGGACTAATTTCATGGTGCCATTTTTCTGTGTTGACAACAGTTTCATTTTTGGGTGAACTATTGCTTTAGGTGCTAAAACTTTTGCTCAGTTCAAATTGCAGGAATTACGGGACGATGGTGAATGACTCTTATTCACCTCTGACTCACACTTTCTCTCTCACGCACACAAATATTTCTAATCTTGTGAGTATTTTAATGTGCTCAAATGGTTAAGCAGAGTAGCTGGGTGAAAGTACGGCTGGATGGACAGATTGGAGGAAAGGCAAGGGAGGGTTTTTTTGGCTGGAAGCATTAGATGTGAACCAGTATGTAGGTCGTGAGCACATTGCTGTGCTTTGTAGTGCTGTTAGAAGTGGAGAGTCATGAATTATCCACTTCACTGAGTTGGATTTTGTTTGCTGTTGTGCTGCTGAAGTGCTTCATAAACTGGATTGCAGGGGTATCAGGTTGCCGGAGTTATAATTTAATAATATTTTGCAGCTTTTTGATGAGAAGGCAGTAAAATGCTGGCATGGAGCTCAGCTATGGGACAGCAAAAGTTCTTGTATTTAATTTGATGTGACAATGAAAAAAATGTAAGGTGTAATATATATATTTCTCTATTTTCCTTTCTTACTCTATGCTGCAGCAAGTCCGTTTTTCCCTACTCAACCTGTCAGAAACAGTCATCTTCATGGATACACATACAGTTTACACACAATCTTTCTCCCCAGTGTGCTTGTCACTTGAATACAGAGAGGGGATGAATAGACCACATTCATTATCCCGATATATATCAACCTGTGTCAGAGCTTCCTATTGGCTGACTGCTCATTAGGTTGATGTGTCAGCCAGTGTCAGAAACCACCATTGGCTGATTCTATAGTGGAAACTGAATTTAGCTTTTAGCTTCACAGAGTAATGTGTATGTACATTATAAATGATCCTATGTACTTCTGGACATTATTTTTAAAACATCAATATTTTAGGTTATATACAGTATATATATATATATATATATATATATATATAAGGGAAAATGTTTTTAGATGCTGTAAACTGTGTAAGTTCTTTTTATTACATTTTTATTTGTAAAAACTACCTTTACAGTAATTAGAATACATTTTTATTTATGTATTTAGCCAATGCTTTTATCCAACATGTCAAATGGAGTTGTACAATACAATAATAATACGATTAGAAAAGTGCTTTAATAGAGTGCTTTGAACATTTTTCTGTGGACCAAATAATGTCACACCACAGGACACTGTTGTTACACTGCAGGACATTTCAAATACTAAGATATTTTGATATTTTTTTGTTTCCAACAGTTAGACTCCCATATGCTAGATGTCGTTCCAAACCTGTACACTCACAGAAAGAAAGGTACAAAAGCTACCACTGCGATACCCTTTCAGAGGGTACACCATTGTAAATTATTTACCCCTAAAGGGTGCATATAAGTACATTAAAGGTACATATTAGTACCTAAAGTGTACATATTGGTACTTAAATGGTACATATTTGTACCTTTTGAAAAGGTACCACCCCAGTGACAGCTTTTGTACCTTTTATTCTGAGAGAGTGTGAATTTCTTTTTACTGTGGAGCAGAAAAGAAGAATGTTGGTAACTTGGTAAACCAAACATTTTCTCATTGACTTCCACTATATTTTTGTCCATATAATGGGAACCAAAACTGTTTGGTTGCCGACATTCTTCAAAATATATTTTATAAATTGTATTTATTACCATTGAAAAGGTAAATAGATCTCAATTAGTCCATATTAGCCCAAGTCCGTATTGTTCATTTTGAAATGTATTTCACGCTTCATGATTTTAATGCAGGAGAATTCCCACATTTGATTTAAAATTGCCAAAAATTAAACACAGTTTAAACAGACAACTCAATATTTGTGGACAAAATATGACCTTTGACTTTCAAAACAGTAAAATTACAACTGCTCATTTGTATACTTACTATGTGTGAGCATGTAGTGTGGACATACATTAATAACATATCCCTGAGTGTGTGCATGTACACGTGTCTGCTGGCATAATGCAGCTGAGCTGTGACGTGTTTGTGTGTGTCTTTGCATGCATTCTCAGGGTTAGTAGAATAGAGAAGCCCCTGGGTAACTGCTCAGTTGTGTTGTTATCAGAGAACATTCACAGCCTCCTCCACAAGCAGACCATGAGCAGAGAAGAGAGCGTGAGGGGAGTGAGATATGCCTCTATGGACATCTTAGCTAAGGATGACCTTGGATGTAATCTCCCAAAGTGTATAATCGTCATCTTCATTCATCGCTGATAGTGTCTTCAATCTGCAGCCCTTAAGAAAAAACAATTATCATGCATCACCTGCACAATATAGTGTCTGTAAGATTCTTGGGGAGGTTTGCTTCTCACAAAGCCTGTCTGGCCAAAATATTGCTTTCTCAAAACAACTGATGGCCAGTTGGCCACAGAAGAACACCAGTCACATTCATACCCTGTTTTTTCTTCTCTGCTTCTGGCTAGTACTGAGATCCCCTTCAGATCCAGACAGACAGAATCCATCATGTAGTAAGGCAGGTCTTCATAGACCTTATGTAGAAATGTTAATGTCAAACAAAAGAAAATAACACATAATGGATATATATATATATATATAATGTAATAAATAATTTTATTTGTCATATAGTTCTTTATTCTTGAAATCAAGCAATATTCCTTTTTCATGACCAGTTGGATACAGACATTTTTTTATGTGTCAATTAACCAATATTCAGAACCAAAATGATCATTAACCAACAATAAAAACATAATATGCATCATGAATTTGACAATGATTAAAATACAATTCTTATGTATTATTAACATTGCTTTTATTATCATTATTATATTATATATACACACAACATTTGTCAGTATCTCTATTATATTCATTTAATAAATGCCTCATGTGAGAGATTTTATACTATATGTACTACTGCAGGTTCATTTATGGAAGACATATTTTTTTATTGATATTAGGAGTGTATTTTTGCATGCATGTCAATAAAGCAGTGCAGTGATTTTACCATGTTAAGTAGTGCTGTTACTTAATTGGTGTTAAGGCCTTGAGTGAGCTACTGCTTTTATGAAACTATAGGCTTGTTTGTACTATAACATTTTTATTAATGCATCAAGCTGCCAAGAAGAAGAAGATGATCAAATATACTGTATATATATATATATATAAATATGAGAGAGAGAGTTGTGTAATTTAATTTTGTGAATATGTTGGCTTTGAACAAGGCTCATCTAATCAGATCTTCTTCTCATTTTTTATATTATATTAGAAAAACATAAAAAAATATATTTGAGAATATTTACAGTACTCATATTGTGCAATATCTAGTTATAAATTCTAACATTCTATTTTCTAATCCTTATATAATGCTGTGTTTGTCAGCTGTGTGTGTAATGCATTTTAACTCTTCCTTTCGCTGACTTTTTAGCTGCACAGAGTGAGCAGAGGGTGTGTGCATACTTAGAACAGACACAAGGAGAGGGGCAAGTCTTTCGTGAGAACTCCACCATTCGCTGTAATCATGGAGGCCACTGCTTTGGACTCTGGGTGAAAAAGAAAAATGAAATTCTGCTAGAGAAGCAAGGTATATAGATACATTCTACACATACACACACACACACAAAGAACTTCACAGTCAGTCTTACCTTTATTTCCTCCATTTAAAACAGGTTGCTGGACAAATTTGGGTGACCGTCAGGAGTGCTATGACCGCTGCGTGGTGACCAACCAACCGTCGGTGGCCCAGAATGGAACGTTTCGATTCTGCTGCTGCAACAAAGACATGTGCAACCTGAACTTCACTGAGGACTTCCCAAGTCCTTCCCCGACCACTGCACAGCCTCTACGTGAGTGTGTGTGTTCATAGACAAACAGATAGTGTTCAGCAAATGCAAACAAATGAGTTTGAGTGAAAGATGTGTTTGTACTAACAGTAGGTACAAATGAAAGACAGGGGTTAAATTGGGCCGGAATGACTCAGAGTGGCATTCCAGCACATTTGGTTAACTATTTGCAATTAAATTATTTATTTTATTTATAATTATTAATATAATTTAATTTTTAAGGTTAATTAATAGCACATTATTGTTATATTGGCAATCTATTTGTTAATTCTAGTTCACTTTCTGGTTCATGAGTTAACATTTTGTCCTTGAATCCTTCAAGATTCCCGCCGACTTTACAGAGAGGAAGTCATAGTTGTCGCCTTAGCAACTGTGTCCATGGTTGCTGTCCTGGTCATTCTGCTTTTTTTCGGCTATCGCATGCTAAGAGGTGCGTTGCCGTAGTGATGTTATGATGCTTTAAATGTATGATTCAATCCTGATGATGAAATTACCTATGTGCATGTGGATTTATATACCCGTGTGTATTCCAGGACGTGGTAAACACTCTCTGCATACCTTGGATATTCTGGAGACTGCGCTTTCCCCTCCTTCTCTGGATTTGGACAACCTAGTACTGCTGGAGGTAACCAATCACATTTTATTTTTTAAGCAAATAAAATAGTGAATTCTATTTCAAATAAATGCTGTTCTTTTGAACTTTCCATTCATCAAAGAATCCTGAAAAAATGCATGATTTTACATCAAAATATTAAGCAGCACAGCCGTTTTCAACAGCAATGCTAAGAAATTATTTTTCAGCACCAAATCAGCATATTAGAATGATCATCACTGGAATAAATTAAATTTTAAGATATATTCAAATAGAAAATTTGAAAATTTGTAATAATAATATTTTATAATATTAATGTTTTACAGTATTTTTGATCAAGTAAATGCAGCCTTGGTGAGCATAAGAGACTTCTTCCAAAATCATTAAAAAAATCTTACTGACACCAAGGATTTGAACAACACAGTATATATATATATATATATATATATATATACTTTTTTAAACTTTCTATTTATATAGTTTTTTACTTTTCTCACTTGTTTTTGCTCTTTCTATTCCTCACAGCTGATTGGCCGGGGCCGGTATGGAACAGTGTATCACGGTTTGCTTGACGACCGATCTGTGGCAGTGAAAGTTTTCGTTTCTGCTAACCGGCAGCAGTTTACTAATGAGCGGATGATTTATCGCCTCCTCCTGGATCATGAGAATGTAGCGCGCTTCTTAGAGAGCGAGGAACGTGTCGGCACAGAAGGCCGGTCAGAGTTTCACCTCTTGCTGGAGTTTTACCCGCATGTGAGTATCGCAAGAATACTGAGGAACCCAAACCAGCCGCCCAAAAAATATCAAAAGCAAAAAATCCAGTCTAATTCCAGATTTCTCATTCTTTTCCTCTCAGCCATTTAGTCTGTTCCTGTTTTTTTCTCTCACATTCTTTCTTCTCTACATCACAGCTCCAAGATTGCAAGTGCACAAATATATTTTGTGGCTATATTTAGAGACCCGAGGGATCTGATGTCATGTTTGATCTTGTGGTAACAGCATCTCACAAGTGTAATGCGATATCTTTGGATATCACCTAAAACTCACTTACTCTCTTCCTGCAGTTTTCCTCTGCGTCTTTTTTCATCCTCTTATTCTTTTTTTGTTTATGCACTTATGGAACCAGGAAAAGATTACAATTCAGCAGAATATCCTCATTTCACCTCTCGCCGCATACTCACACCCACAACACACTCTCTCGATGTTATGGAGGAAGAGAGAGATTATTGACTGAGCTGAGGAGTTTTCAATTATTCATAACAGTGGGCTTTCAGCCTGTACTTCCTGTGGGCTAACCTCAAGCCAGGTTGCCATAGCGACAGGAGGCCTCCCTGAGGTAGTCCTGAGGTATGGCAGGAGTGCATTAATTGTGCTACTCCTGTAATTTTGAGATACACCGCCTCTTTTCTTTCTTGCTCTGCACTTTAATCTGGTCCTCCCTCACTTCTCCCTCCTCTGCCCACCTGTCTTTCCTGTGCGTTCCTCCCTATACTTTGCAGATGATTTCTTCTGAATAGAGTACTACCTCTGTCTTTCCCAGGGCTCTCTATGCACGTATCTGAGCGGGCGGACTGTGGACTGGCTAAGCTGCTGTCGTTTGGCTCTGTCTGTCACCAGAGGGTTGGCGTACCTGCACACAGAAATACAGAGAGGGGGTGAGACACAAAAATAACAAATAAATTCATATTTCACACACTTGTCGTTCCAAACCCGTATGATTTTCTTTCCTCTGTGAAATGCAAAAGCAGAATGCTGATGAATATAGTGACAAATCTTTTTCATAAAATGATGATACAGTACTATTAAAAATTTTGGGTCAGTACGATTTTTTTGTGAAAGATATTAATATTATAATGTAGCACGCACACATTACATTGATCAAAAGCAAAAGTAAAGACATTTATAATGTTACAAAATAATTCAATTGATAATAATAAAAAGACAAAAATGTATTAATCAAAAAATCCAGGAAAAAAAATATTAGGTAGCACAGCTGTTTTTAATATTGATAATAGTAATTCTTGTGCATCAAATCAGCATATTAGTATGATTTCTGAAGGATCATACGACACTGAAGACTGGAGTAATGGCTGCTAAAAATTACAAGAATAAATTACATTTAAAATACACTTTAGATTTTAAGTATGGAGTATGAATGTGATAGTGGGTGTGTGCACTTTATTTATAGCCTCAGTCTGAGAAAGCAGGAAGGCAGGGATGGGGCATAATTCTCAATGCTTTTTTTAGTTTTCTTTGTCTTTGTTTCAGTGTGAAAGGCTCTAAAAGTGTTCAGATTTTATTTAGTGTCAGAAAAATGCATGGAATTCAAAGGCATAAAGACTGTGACAGAAAGAGAGACTAAAGAAAGAAGGAAAGTGATGCTATGTCTTTATCTTCAGTGCAGTCATCCTGATATATACTGACATATCCTGTTTTTAACTCACAGAAACTGGCCAAACTTCCACATACAAATGCACACTCATATAAACTCTCATATACAGCATTATTAAAAGCATTATTATTTAAATCTGTTTGGATGGGCCACATGCAAACCAATATTGGTTTTCAAACAGATAATAATTTCACAAAAAAGTGACCACTACCGATAACAGTGTAGAGGTTAATGACCAATATTACTTGGCAGAGAAATAGATTATGATTATCATTATTACATTTACATTTATGCATTTAGCAGACGCTTTTATCCAAAGCGACTTACAGTGCATTCAGGCTATACATTTGTTTTTACCAGTATGTGTGTTCCCTATTATTATCAATAAATGTAATTATTTACTGAAAAAAAATAAAATTTAAACTGAATAATAAACATATTTAATAAAATAGTCATTATTTATTTAAGTTATATAATATATTTCAGTGTCTTTTATCATATTGCTTTTATAAAACAGAGGAAACTAACATAAGCCACTCGAAGCTGCATTACATTTATTTATTACAAGTGTTTTAAGCATCTGTGCCTAACTGGATCACTTACATTGGTAAAATCCCTGTTACATAGGTTATTTCTGGAGACACAAGTGGGTCCTAGTGCTCTCTAGTGGCAATTATTATATTGTGATTCACTCTCATGTAATTGTCTCTCCTTCTCTCCTCTCTCGTCCCACTCCTTCCCGTTCCATCTCTCCCTTCCCTTCCCTTTCTTCTTCTCATTGCTAGATGTGTATAAACCGGCCGTGTCCCACCGGGATCTGAACAGTAGGAATGTGCTGGTAAAGACAGATGGCTCGTGTGTGATCAGTGATTTTGGACTTTCCATGATTCTGACGGGAAAGAGACCTCCTGGGCATGGAGAAGAGGACAACAGTGCCATCAGTGAGGTCAGCAAACAGCAATTTAGAATGGTCCAGTCTGATCCAACCCAGCAAAATCTAAACCAGACCAGTGATTTAGACAATACTATCTCAGACTAATCATATGTTATACCTCTTCACCTCACTCAATAGGTGGGTACAGTCCGATACATGGCTCCAGAAGTGCTAGAAGGGGCAGTGAATCTGAGGGATTGTGAGTCTGCGCTGAAACAAGTGGATGTTTATGCACTGGGTCTGCTTTACTGGGAGACCTTCATGCGGTGTGCGGACCTCTTCCCAGGTACCACACACACATGTACAAACGTGCAGATCTTTCCCTGTCACAGCTGCTGTTTGTTGTCAATAAAAATCTTCTGTCCCACCAGGTGAAACAGTTCCAGCGTTTCAGATGGCATTTCAGGCAGAGGTGGGCAATCACACTACCATAGAAGACATGCAGGCACTTGTGTCTCGAGAAAAAGAAAGACCCAAATTCCCAGAGGCCTGGAAAGAGAATAGCCTGGTGAGAAATTATGATGTGAAAACACACAAATGCAGCTTATCAACTCTCAGTGGACTAAAATAGATTTGTTGATGTTGATGTATATGTCTGTGTTTATGTGCAGATGGTGCATTCTCTGAAAGAGACAGTGGAAGACTGCTGGGATCAGGATGCTGAAGCCCGACTGACGGCTCAGTGTGCAGAGGAGAGACTTGCTGAATTGCTCCTTATCTGGGACAGGGAAAAATCAGGCAGTCCTGCTCTCAACCCTAGCACTGCACTGTTTAACCACAGGTAATCAATAACCATTATTTACTGTAAAATCACAGGTAATCAATAACCAATAATTACTGTACAACCACAGGTAATCGGTAACATATAATCACTGACCATTAACTGTAAAACCACCAGTAATCACTGACCACTCAATGTATAACCAGAAAATTATCAATAACCAATAATCACTCACTGTATAGCTTCAGGTAATAAGTGACTAATAATTACTGACCACTCACTGTATAAGCACAGGTAATAAATAACCAATAATTACTGTAAAACCACAGGTACCAATAACCAGTAATCATTGACCACTCACATACAACCACAGGTAATCAATAATTGCTGATCAATTACTGTACTACAGCAAGTAATCAATAACCAGTCATCACTGACCACTCACTGTACAACTGCAGGTAATCAATAATCACTGACTAATCACTGTACAACTGCAGGCAATCAATAACCAGTAATCACTGACCACTCACTGTACATTCACAGGTAATCAATAACCAGTAATTACTGACCACTCACTGTACATTCACAGGTAATCAATAACCAGTAATCACTGACCACTCACTGTAAAACTGCAGATAATCGGTAATCACTGATTGAACAACCTTATTACTGCACTCTACAACCACTGGCAATAAATAACCGGTACTCACTGCATAACTAATGAAAATCCAAAAGCAATCATATCTTTACTTCAACAATGTATTCAACCAATGAATTCAACCACAGGTAATTAATAATCAATAATATATAATCCAGACTATTATGTTTAACACTGCACTGCACATCCCCAGTTAATCTCAGTCTATAGAACTCTAGATAATTAATAATCAATTAACACAAACTGTCACAAATCATGGTCAATTGTTGTCATTTGAAATGTGAATAAGTCAATGTTTGCCTTTATCTTATGTGATTCTTATTTCAACTTATGTTTTCTAGGAACTTCTCTACTGGAAGGCAGAACCCTAAAGTGGGTTCTTTCCTTGAAAACTCATCTACAAACACTGAAGGCCACAATGGTGCTGATAAACCCCTCCACAATGACACCTCAGTGGACTCACCCTCAGTGGGAGGGTCTAACCCTGCAGAGAAGAACAGGAACTGCATCAACTACGAGTGGCAGCAGGCCCAATCACGACAGTCTGGCACAGAAAGCTCCTCCCACACTCCAATCTCAGAGTCCTCACAGCCTCCACCAGGGGACAACAGTGGCCCTCTCTGTGCTCAGCTGACCCAGGAAGACCTGGAGATACCAAAACTTGACCCAAGTGAAGTCCAGAGGAACTTGAGGGAGAGCTCCGACGAGAGCCTGATGGAACATTCGCAGAAACAGTTCTGCTTTCCGGAAACATCAACCTCACATGGCCCGTTGAAGATGGCTTCTGAGGTTTCAGGATCTCAGGGTTCTGGTCGGCATGTTGACACCCCTATAACCATCCTACCTAAGCAGCAGAATGTCCCTAAGAGGCCGAGTAGCTTAAGTCTCCATGCTAAGCCTTCTGGGAAAACACCTACCTTGTCGTCTTCATCACTGCGGATGAAGTTTGGGAAACTCGGAAAGTCGAATCTGAAAAAAGTCGAGATGGGTGTGGCTAAAGCCAGTGCAGTGAGCACGGCACATGAGGCCAGGCCGATTACAGTTGCCAACAACGATGCTGCGGCAGCAGTGAGTAAATATGCGACCGGAGCAGCACCTGAGTCAGCAGGAAGTGCCGCTGATGTCCGTTGGAAGGGCGCCATGAGTTCAGAGGACCTGACCTTCGGCCTCTTGAACACTAGCCCTGATGAGCAGGAGCCTCTTCTGAGAAGAGAGGCGCATCCAGACAATGCAAACAGCAACAACAGCAATAACAACAATGGCGAGGGAGACGGCGAGGGAGACACTGAGGGTGGAGGAGAGGGGGGAGAGAACAGTGAGAGTGTTGGTCCAACAGGGGACGCTCCGTCGGCTTCTACCGTGGAGCCTGTTGCACTGCCCGGCCCATGTCCTGCCCCAACCTTGGTTCCTCCACAGGCCCAAACCCAAGCTCAGACACATGGAGAGGCCCTGCTCAGACAGAACCGTGTGCGCAGACCTGAGAGACCCAACTCACTGGATTTGTCCATCACCACACTGCCATTACTAGGTGAGTATCAGTGCTGCAAACTAAATTTGCCTTTTGAATGCAAAATATGTACTTTTTTTTTGCAGAACTAAATTGTTGTTTTTCAAGGGGTATGAGTATTCAAAATTTGATGCAATATATTTATATATTTGACTTGCTGACGTCGGTGGTTTAAATTAATTTGTCACTGTATCCACTTTATTTTAACGTAAGAGAGCTGATGTAGACTTTGTAGACTTGAATGTGTGAGGCTTCCGTTGTCGTCTGCATCGTTATTTTGCGCTCCTAATGCTACTTGATATTGCAAACTTGATATTGTTTTTTTTATCATATTATCTTGTATTGTTGTAATTATAAACAAGCTGGTTTGCAGCGCTAGTTTTACCGTTTATTGCACTTTGTTATTCTTCTCTATATAGAAGTGAATTAATTAGAAATAGGGCTGTCAAATTGATTAATCCTGATCAATCACATCCAAAATAAATGTCTGTGCTTATATAATATATGTGTGTGTACTGTGTATATGTATATATACATACATGTAATACACACATATAAATTATATATAATATAAATCATATATATACCAACACACACACACATATATATATATATATATATATATATATACTGTATATATAGACGTATGTTTGTGTATTTATATATACATATAAATATACACAGTGGGAACACATATCATGTAAACACAAACTTTTATTTTGGGTGCGATTAATCACGATTAATCAGTTCGACAGCCCTATTTAGAAGTCTCGCACATTCACAGAAAATAGCTTACTTCCATGTTGCAAAATAAGATAATAGAATTTGTGCAACACAAAATCAACTGAGTTGAAGAATTGTGGCATTTTGGGATTAAGACCATAGACTGTATAAAAACATGGACGTAGTGTCCGTGACGTCACCCGTAGATTTCCGAAGAGCGTTTTTGAGGCTCAAAAGTGGGCGGAGGCGGCCGTCGCCATCTTGGCAGCGCGCGCGCGTCACTCCCGGATAATCAAAATTATTTTTTGAACCAGGCTGTAAACATGTTTTTTTCTGCTGTAAATTTGGGCATTTTTAACATGGGGAGTCTATGGGATTGACCCCTTTTTGCCGCCAGCCTCTAGCGGCCAGTTGATGAATTACAGTTTAAGTCACTTCCTTGTTGGCTTCAGAGAGGGGGGGGGTTGCCGCTTGGTTAAGACACTGCTTATGTTTTTCTTCTGTGTTAATTTCTACAAAATTTTCCAAACTTTTCTTTTGTCCGTTTAATAGCTCTGTAGATTGTTTGTAAAACTATTCAGTTTTGGAACAATTTACACATCAATCCATTCTTCTGATGTTTCACGAATGAGGCCCATTGTTTTACATTTGAAAATAACATGCGATCATGTTGTAATTTCTTGGCTCGCCAACAGGAGGCAAGTCAGCCGGCAACGTGACAGAGGGATCAGGAGATAAAATCAAGAAGCGAGTGAAGACGCCTTACGCTCTGAAGAAGTGGCGTCCTGCCAGCTGGGTTATCACCACGGATACACTGGATGCTGAAGTCAACAACAACAGACTTCATGGAGGGCCCGGTCAGAACCAGAATCAGGCCGGTACCAGCAGACCTAAATCAGCCTCTGCCGTGTATCTAGGTAGTCGGGGAGGATCTCGCTTCTCAGATCCCAATGACTGTGACTTTTGAATTTTGACCTCACTTTGATCTTGAAAAAAATGTAAAATCAAACACTATAGCTCTAAAAAGTCTGAAGGCTGTGGAGACAAGTGTGGATTGAACCATATACATGTCTTAAATTTAACCCCAATTGTAAGCACAGTAAGTGTCTTAGTGGATTTACATTGAAAAGAGCTATGCATTCATCTTTAATGTTTGTATTTTTATTTTTTAATTAAGCCACTTTTTGGTTGCACTTTTTTGATTTTTCTTGAAGTTATAAATCATAATTATTTTGACCATTTGAAATGGTCCCTAATATTAAACCAGTGTAAATGTAGTTAATCATCACATTCCCAAATTCTTAAAGTATTTCTATTGTCAATATTAACTCTTAGTTATGCTCATCTCTAAAATATTTAATTGCTCTTTGTGAGTGTAACTTCTATAAAATTATTTTAAAAAATAATAATAAAAAAAACAAACATGAAAATTCATCAGTCAGAATTTGTGGGAACCCTGTTATAAGATTATAGGGTTACTCACTAACACTAATTTTAATCATTTCATTTGTAAGGTTTCAAAGCTTTCATTTTTGCCCATGCATACCTGCAAAATATGTTTACATTCTCTAATATTTTCCCATGCACAGTTTCCTGCAGCTTTGAGATTTATGAGACAATATTACTGAAGTTCCATGACTGTGTTCACAGCATCTGATATTATATTAAGTGCTGTTGTGTGTGCAAAATAACAGCAGGCTTCCCTTTCTGAGGTCTGAAAGAAGCCAACAGACTATAAAAAAGCAATTCAACACATTTCACTGTGGTATCAGACACTCAAGACAATATTTAGAAATGGGGTGACTCTACAAAGACCAAGGCAACATCTGATATCAGATGCAGGAGTCACACTTCTCGCTTTCTGGATAAGCTTTACTTACAAGACAAAGCTGCACTCGGTCTGGTATACTGACTGTTCTGGATCCTGTTGAACTGTCTAATGATGCTTTGGACCTACTTGTTATTTACTGTACTTATTTTTCTATGAGTGAGTGTGCATGAGTGCACAAGATCAGTTCTCTGTGTGTTTGTTCCTGTGTCTTTGTGTCTTGTCTCTAGTCGTGTGAAAGGTTTTTGTGCTGCATGTTTGTATCTATTCCTATGGAGACGTGCATCTTCATACACACTTACCTGTTCCAATCATTTGATGAACAAGGAGTCAACAAAGGGCAAAGTTTTAATCAGTTAGAAACCTGAGAACAGTCTTTTTTTCAAGCACAGCACACAAGATCAGCATTTTACGCTATGCACAAAGACATGAAGCAAGCAGCTCTGGTTTGAAATCAAACCTTATTGTGTTACTAAACTGCTCTGGCATGTCAGTGATAATGAATAGGATGCTGTTATTAAAATCGTATAAACAGAGTCCCATATTATCCTCACCTGAACTGACTGTTGCATGTCTTAAATGCATCTTAAAGAGCACAAGATACTTTCAGCTGCGACCCTAGTGTGTTTATGCACACGTATGTGTGTGTGTGTCTGTGCATGTATGTGTGAATGAGTGTTTGTATGATGTTATTCTCCTGTTAACACAATCGTTGTAATCATAGTGACGTGATCAATCGTTTTATTACCCCTTGCTGAGACATTTTGAAAATTGTGATTTGTATAAGAAGGTGCAGACTGTAAAAGTGTATCGTTATTTGCAGATTTAAATTAAATTATGCTTTGCATTTGCATAGTCTCAATTTATTCACAGTGTGATGAAATACTTCACTGTCATCAGCATTTGGAAATGCAATATGAGAGTATCACCACTAGTCGGCGCACTAAACATGTTATTCTAACCTTGACCAGCATGCATTTTTATTAAAGCAATTATTGCTTTGTTACCATCACACTAAAGTAAAATTTAAGGTGAAACATCACATATTACAGTGGTTTATTTATCTGCGACAATTGGTGCACCTTTATGAAACCTGCATAAATGTTTTCATAATATCTCATAATACACGTTGTAGTGCCTTATTTATTTAATAAATAATTGAATCCAGAGATTATGGATACATCTTTACTATAATAACTGTACATTTAAGACTATAATGTATGCTGATATTTGATTATAGTGTTTTAATGCATTATATCCCTAAAAGTAAATAACAGTAGCCTATTATAAACAATTATCACATGGTTAATTAAAAATACTTTATATTTTATTGTACATAGCTTCATAGAACTTGTTCGTGTTGCCTATCATTTCCCTGTTGTTCTGCTGTTCAACAAAACGTTTTAAATGGCATAATAGCGTTTCAACAGATCAAATAATAACACATACACACGTCAGTTCAATATGACGTGCTTTTACACTGGAAGTAATTTACCTCATTGGCTCTGCTGAGTTTCTGAGGGGAGGCGTTGCCGCTCGCGCGGGAGCTTCATCACGCACTGACACGCGCGGGCGGTGCGAAACTGGCACGGAGGAGCGACGCGGGATATTACAGTGGTTTATTTATCTGCGACAATTGGTGCACCTTTATGAAACCTGCATAAATGTTTTCATAATATCTCATAATACACGTTGTAGTGCCTTATTTATTTAATAAATAATTGAATCCAGAGATTATGGATACATCTTTACTATAATAACTGTACATTTAAGACTATAATGTATGCTGATATTTGATTATAGTGTTTTAATGCATTATATCCCTAAAAGTAAATAACAGTAGCCTATTATAAACAATTATCACATGGTTAATTAAAAATACTTTATATTTTATTGTACATAGCTTCATAGAACTTGTTCGTGTTGCCTATCATTTCCCTGCTGTTCTGCTGTTCAACAAAACGTTTTAAATGGCATAATAGCGTTTCAACAGATCAAATAATAACACATACACACATCAGTTCAATATGACATGTGCTTTTACACTGGAAGTAATTTACCTCATTGGCTCTGCTGAGTTTCTGAGGGGAGGCGTTGCCGCTCGCGCGGGAGCTTCATCACGCACTGACACGCGCGGGCGGTGCGAAACTGGCACGGAGGAGCGACGCGGGACTCCGGGGAACCGTTGCTCACTAAGTGCAACAGCGCTACGGGAACGCGTTATACCTCTCAGCTTCCATCCGACGCTGCGAAAACAAACACAGAAGTATGTAGTTTGGAAGAGGACAGATGACCCGTCGCTCTCCATGGTGTCGTTTACTGTGGGGACTGGGAACGCGTTGCTGCGTCTTGTTGTGAAGGACAGGTCCCAACTGAGGACTTCCTCGCAGGACTGCGTGAATTTTTCTCTATAGACATGTAATCATAGACTTCGTCTTTTAAAAACAAGCAAGGTGCGATGGCCTCTTCGGCTCAGCCCGAGACACGAAAGTTCACGCGCGGTCTGAGTAAGCCCGGCACCGCCGCTGAGTTACGCCAGAGCGTCTCCGAGGTGGTGCGCACTTCTGTACTGGTGGTGAGTGAAGTACATCCTCAAATTTTGCGTTTGGTTCAAGTCCCACTTTAATTGTCGTAGTGCCTTTTTTATTACAGCCGCTGTAATTGATTCACATAATGACCTAAATAAGAAATATAGGACAGGGCTGTTAACGTGATCAGATGGGAGCTTCTAACAGAAAGGTAAAAACAGGGCATCAGATAAATGTCAATGAGGGCTCAAACGTTTTACGGCTCATAAATTTGGCACCTGCCCCCTGTCATATCATTGCCACCATCATCTTTTTTTCAACCATACCTTTTTAAAATAGTTTTGCATCAATGTCTTGTCATTTAATTGTGCTTGAATTCGACTGGGGAAAAAATGGAAAAAGCTTCTGGAAGGATTCATCTGTGCTCTAAGCTGAAATGATTATAGCAGCCTTACTTAACAGTTGACATGACATTACTTCATCTTTCAGAACAGCAGAAGGAGGCTTGGGAGTGCTGTCTCTTTATCCATCACCCGTTATGTAAAAAAGTAAAGTTCCATCTGGAACTAATAGGCTACAGCTATGATCGAGCTGTCTGATTCCACCATAATTCAGATGTTGCCTTACTAAAGTAACACTTGAATACACATGAAAGCGCCAAACTGAAGTTTGCCATATTCTCAATTTTGTGCAAAACAGTCTTTTGTGCCAGGATCACCGTTTAAATATCAAGGAATTGCATGCACTCAAAGGAATAATTCACCCAAAAATTCACATTTTACTTTTGTTTCTCTTGTGGAGCAAACAAGAGCAATTAAGTTCGATGTCGATGCTCTTCTTTTTCCACACAGTTAAAGTTGAATGGAAACACTTCAAAAATGATAAATATATACATATATACACTACTGTTCAAAAGTTTGGAGTTAGTAAGATTTTTTTATTATTATTATTATTCAGCAAGGATGCATTGAATGAATCAAAAAGTCATTTTTGACAATGTAAAGACTTACATTGATTCAAAAATTTCTATTTCAGGTAAATACTATTATTTCAAACTTTCTATTTATCAAAGAATCCTGAGATGTACCATGGTTTCCACAAAAAAAATGAGCAGCACAACTGTTTTCAACTGTGATAATGGAATGTTATGTTTCTTAAGCACCAAATCAGCATATTAGAAGGATTTATTAAGTACCATGTGATGCTGAAGACTGATTGCTGAAAATTCAGCTTTGGTATTTTAGAAATAAATTATTCTTTTTTTAATACCAGTAACAATATTTCACAATATTAATGTTTTACTGGAGTTCAAATTAATGCAGCTTTACTGAACATAAGATCTTTCAAATAAGTTAATTAATTAATAAATACATATTTAAAAAATCTTACCAATCCAAAATTTTTGAATGGTATATGACAAGAAACACCACAAAGCTGCCATTAAAGTACCTCATAGAATTGTATTGCTATGTTCCATGTTTTTTGAGGCCTCGATGGAATAAATCTACTTGAGCTTTTGCTTATATTTTTGTGTGCCGATCCTGATGTTTGGTACTATGCTGTTCATCACATTGACATTTTTTGAGTAAGCCATGACTGAATTAGTTATTCACTGAAAATATTGACCTGTGATGTAAATCTCTTTTGTGGTTGCAGGTGTTCAAATGTGCAAATCACTGTGAAAACAGTGTTTAAGTTATAAGTTGTTGTATGACTTCAGAAGACTTGGAATATAGCTCATGAGTTGGATGGACTACTTTTATAATACTTTTAGGGTTGTTTTGGTCAATTTTAGACCTTGACAGCCCAG